GGGAGCGCACTCTGCAGCCTTGTCAGAGAGGTCTTACTGTGGACGTATCATCTGATATCTGGGCCCACCTCCCCACCAGCCACTCTCCCTGAGCAGCTGGGCTCTGCGAGAAATCATCTGTTTTCCATCTGTCTCTGAAATGAACCTTAAGATTAATCTACAGACATTTTCCATAAAGTTACCATTATAACAATTTTCTAACACCTGTTGGCTACTAACATCGCCAAAAACACCTCACTGTAGCAACCATCCTATCATGTTAGGACATTCTGATCATGTTTTCAGTCCTATTTCCCTTTTTGGTACATATGAATGCACCATTTTTGTGTATTACCGTGTAAAAGAATTACCAATTAAACTATGTACCTGGACTTGAAACGCTGATACAAATGAAATACTGGCTGCCCACGTGTTGTAATTGTTAGGTGCCATCAAGTAGTCAACCACAACGTTTAGTGAATCTGTGAACAGCGTATCTGAACCTTGCCCTGTCCTGACCCAGCTTCACTATCTGATATGCTCACACCGTTGTTACCGTCACTGTGCCAGTCCATCTTGTTCAGGGTCTCTCTCTCTTTCTCTGACCTCTCACCTTTCCCAGCATGCTATCTTTTTCTGAGAACTGACTCCTCCTAGCAACATGCCCAAAGTATGTGAGGCAAAGTTTCACCACCGTTGCCTCCAAAGAGCATCCTAATTTGCACTTCCTCCAACATAGACTTGATCTGACCATGGTCAGGATGAAAAGAAAAGAAATGAACCTTTCCAGATACAACATGCAATTTGAGAGATATCCAGAATAACTGATTCTAGTGAGTTATATCTTCCAGTCACTATGATCTTTTCAACATACCATTTTCTGGTTTACTAGATTGGAGCAAAGAACTGCAAACTACGTCTGACTTCTCTGTTCCACGACGTTCTTCTTTCTTTCCAAAAAAGGTACAGCTGTAGGGGAAACATAGTTCAGCTGAAATCTTCTAAAAAAACCAAATAATTGTTTACCTTAACTAGTTAGATTGGATCTTTATGAGTCGTAGTCAACCTGACGGCACCTAATGACAGCAACAACAGTTTAAAAAAAGTCTGCTTTGAACAGCTTGCTCTTTTAAAATGGAGCTACACTGAGATCAAATTGACAGCAGTAACTCAAAAGGTTTAAGAACCTTAAGGGGCAGGGAGATTAAGGTAATGGGAGAGTAACAACTCAGGAAAGGAAATGAGAATGTTTGTAGAAACCAAAGAATATAATCAACATTACTGAGTGGTTCATAGGGTTGCTATGAGTCGTCTAGGACTCAATGGCACTTAGAAAGTTATGCTACCAAGTCAAAGGTGGATGATTTTAATCTGTGGTCCTCAGGCCTGGTTTTAATTGTTTTTGGTCAAACATTCTTCTAGGTGACATAACACTGGTCTGTCCATTTGCTGTACAGAGGTAACTTGTGCTTGCTGTGATGCTAAACACTGTGACACTGATGTATGTGTCAAATGCGAGAATGGTTACCCCTGGTGGACAGTGTTTGGTGGAGCTCTCCAATTAAAACAAGCTTGGAAGCAGGAGTGGCATCCCCTTCTGAAATAACTTGCCTCCAGAAACTCTATGAACTTGGATAAATGATGAAAGTTACACAAGTGTTCAGGTCTTTCGTTCATAGGGTCCGTCCCTATGAGTCGTCTACGACTCAATGGCATTTAACAACAACAACAACACATATAGAAACAAGTGAATTGCTGTATGTTTTGCAAGGTGTACTCTCAGCACCACAAAAGAAGAAAAGGTGGACGAAGGGACATTAAATGGAGATATACGATTTCCTACCACCCTCCCCATCAGTCACTTCTGATTCACAATGACTCTTTTCATTTTGTTTTGGGTTTTGCCTTTTTTTTTTTTTTAGAAAATGTATACTGTATTTGGTATTAACAGATTTGAACATATTTTTTTTTACTTCCATTCATTAATTGTTACACATTTTCCTCCCTGTCCCCCCTCCACCTGAGTTTGCTTTTTTCCATTGGAAAAAAAGTTCTTTCATTTTTATACAGCCCCACCATCACCACCTCTTTATTCTGCAACTCTTATTCTGGTCTCCGGTCATGCCAATAACACATAGTCATATGTTCCTTTTATACTGTTCTCTCCCTCGTCTGTTTCAATGCCATGTACATTATTTATCTATTCTTTTCTTAGTTTCCCCTGAACCCCTATATCAGTCCTGTTCTATAAAAGTGGCATATACAATATTTGGGTTTTTTGTGACTAAGATATTTCACTTAGCATAATGTCCTCCATGGTCACCCACTTTGTATAATATTTCATGAGCTCTTTGTTTTTCAGGGCTGTATAATAGTCCATTGTGTGAATATACTACAGCTTCTCTATTCATTCCTTTGTTGATGGACACGTTGGCAGTTTTCAACTCTTTGCTATTGTGAGCAAAGCAGCAATAAACATGGGTGTGCATATATCTGCTTGGGTGGCAGTTATGGTTTCTTTGGGGTATATTCCCAGTAGTGGAATTGCTGGGTCAAATGGTATATCTATTTCCAACTTTTTGAGAAAGTGCCACACCTCCAGAGTGTTTCCGCCATTTTACATTCCCACCAACAGTGAATAAGGGTTCCAGTCTCTCCACAACCTCACCAACATTTGTTGCTTGCTGTTCTGTTAAATTTTGCCATTTTTACTGGGGTGAAATGATATCTCATAGTTGTTTTGCTTTGCATTTCTCTTAGAGCTAGGGATTTTGAACATTTCTTCATGTGTTTGTTCACCATCTGAATGTCTTCTTTGGTGAAGTGTCTGTTCATATCCTGTGCCTATTTTGCAACTGGGTTGTTTATCTTGTTGTGGAGACAATGACTCCTTTTGTATAAGCATAGCACTATGCTTTGTAGGGCTTTCAACAAAAAAATGCTTTAATTTTACTTTCTCACTGTAAAATTAGCAGCAGCTTCAGAAAGCTCCACTCCACTGGGTTTCAAGAGAAGAACTTTAGCCTTCTTGGACGTTTGAATCCCTAATGCCTTTCATATTAGAGTGTACCATCACCAAAGTAGACAAATTAATAAACAAAAGCAAATACTAATGGGACTTGCCAAAAATTGCTCTGAGGGTGAGTGACAATGAGAGTAGACTGGTGTCTGCAAAAAACATGCCTCCAGGTACTGTAATCACCACAGTGACGTGATAAATTTCACTGATGGCATTCCTTTGATGCTCAAAATAAAACAAACATTTTCAACAGGAATCTCAGGTTAAGTGGAAAAGAGAAATATTTCATAGAAATGGATATATGAAGACCTGGATGAATCAAGATATTACTTGCTAGTATTCAACAAAAATTGTAGAATGAAGCCAAGGAAGGACTCAGGGATCATGAGTGAAATTATGTCAGAGTGAATTCATGCTTGTATAAGAGTATTTATTGCCAAATTTTTATTACTACAAAAGACTTCAAACAACCAAAATGACTGCCAACATGGGAGTTATGATAAGTCTACACAATGAAACATCATGTCATAAAAAAAAATCATAAAGCTCTAAATAAACTAGAATCGAAAAGTTTCAAAATATACCTTTGGAAAAATGCAAGGAATTTACTATATGCAAATGCTTGTATAAACAGATTTCTATAGACATTACCCAACACTTTTAAACACATACAAATTGGAGAGTGAATGACAATAAATGTCATACATCATTTTCAACTAAAAAAGAGCTTTAAAGATAAAGGCTACAACTTCAAACCAAAGGTCTTAAAATATTAAATATTTAAAGTAATATAATGTTTCTAGAAATGAGTTGGTTTGAATGGTTTATTTGCCCCACCTGGAATTGACAGGATGGCTTTGGGGCAAAGCTTCAAGAGGAAGTCTAACCAAACTGAATTAGTCTGTCTTACACTCAGATTAGACAACGCAGGTCAAGTCGTTACACATCAGCCCACATCTCTTGGCTCCTTTCATGGTCACTTACTTGGTCCAGGGTCTGCACTTGTCCGTGGAAGAAAAGGCATCTGAGAAGTATCCAGCAAGGCAAGGCTCGCACACCGTGTCCTTGTTGAACTGCACTGTCCCAAAGACAATCGACAGAAGAACAAGCAGAGAGCAAACAAGGAACACTTAGATATCAACCAGGACGGTGGTCCCAGAGGCCAAGCACTAACTCTTTCTGCCTCTTTTCTCCCCGTCCTGACCTCATACCCCAAAGGTGGCTAATTCCATTTCTGATCCCAGCAATGGTTCAGAAATGGTGTTCAGAAAGGTGCGACCCCCTAGTCTCCTGACACTGTGTTGTTCACAGTCACTGATACTCCGTCTCCTGTTTTAGAAGCCCAGTTGTGGGTTCCCACTCTCTAACTCTTGTCCTAACCAGTCACCAGCTTTTCTGTCTTCATTCCTTACATTGGCCTCAACTACAATCATTGTTGCTTTTGAGGAAAACTTCTTGTCCTGACCTGCTCTGACCAACTTCATCTCAAATTTCTTGGAATCACAACAAAGGTTTCTCAATTTAAAAAAACGTGCCCAACAGCTCTGTGTTAGTTCTCTAGTGCTGTTATAAAAGAGATACCACAAATAAATGGACTTAACAAACAGAAATGGATTCTCTCACAATTTTAAAGGCTAAAAGTCCAAAACCAGGGTGCTAGCCCAGGGGAACATGTCCTTTCTGTATCTCCTGGTTCTAGGGGTTTCCTAGAACAGGTCTTGGATCAAAGGACATACTCCACTCCTGGCTCTTCCTTCTCGGTGATACTGAGGTTCTCCCCTCCCCCATCCTCTACCATCTCTCCTTTTACCTCCTGTAGGAAAAACAATGATTCAAACTAAATCTCAGGAAAACTTCTCTTCCATCCAATCAGAACTATTATCTGCACTCTGCGCTAATTCTCATACAACTGATTGGCTGCTGACATCACAGCACTGATTATATCATTACATAACTGCCTCTAATACTACCTCTTTAACATCATAGACGTTAGGATTTATAACACACAGAATAATTACATAATTCTGAAAATCACACATACTTTGGGAGGACACAATTCAATCCATGACTAAGTCTCTTTCCCTTAAACTTTCAAGGTGTTCACAAACCTATTCTGTAAAGGACCATACAGTAACTAGTTCAGGCTTTGTGGTCCTTACAGTCTCTGCCACAATTACTTGTAACATGAAAGCAGGCAGAGAATGAGAGAGATGCAGGTCGTAACTATGTTCCAATAAATCTTTATTTACAAGCAGAGGAGGCAGCCACATTTGACACTTTTGCCTTCAAGCTCTGTGCTGGAAGCAGAAGCTGACCCTGGTTAGTAAGTCTTACTTATTTCCCTTGGATTCCTAATAAGCTACATTCTGAAAATAAGAAAGCCCTCAGGTTTCCTATGTTGACAACATTTACTGCAACTGGTGCCTCATGACCCCTTTTGATAATTCCAAGAAGAACACTGGCAATCGTAATGTCACGGTCACCTGGCTAGTGCCCAAACCCGCAAATTCCTCTTGAAATGAGCAGTACTTCTGTGATTTATTTTTGTGAATTAAACACTAAAATAAGGAAGTAAGTTGTCTTTGTCCAAGTGAGGTCGGAAGTATGAATGTTCTTGAACTCTGCAATTTAGAGTGAGAAGCAGGAAGACCTCCCCATTTATCTAGCAGTTCTCATTTTCCCTGAAACTGCAAATCTACAAAAGTCTAGTGGGCACCTAGCCATTCACATCATACCAGCAGTGTTTTTATAAAGGAACAAAATCTAGAGGAGTGGCCCCCAAAGCCCTAGACACGACATACAAAGTGTTCAGGGCCCTCATCCCTGTGTAGCTGACTCCCGGAGGCACACGTCAATTAGGAAAACCTGCCTGAGACTTCCTGCCGGCCTCCTTTTCTATCTCTCCTTTCACAATCCCACCTCTCTCATTTTCATAAAAGAAGGCACACCTCTTTCCTATCCAACATCTGCAGCAGTACCATGTCTCAGGGGGTACAGCCAAGGTTCGAATACTGATTTGACATCAAGGAACCTCATTCCGAGGTCCATGTGTCTGTCCCCATCTGCTTTCAGCAACGATGTGGCATTAGATATGGAGGAGTTTGACATAGTTGCTCTGAATTCAAATAGACTGTAAGGTGGGCAGGAGTGATCTCTGTCATCCCTAGGTCTTCCCACCACCTCACCTGTTCTACTCACCACTACTTGTTAAAGAACCTGTTATTGCTGAGGAGAGCCCCTGAGAACCGGGATGGAGGACCATGGGTAAGAATTCCAAAAGTGCAACAGCACCTTAGTCCATCTGGAGCACATCCTTGAAGAAAGGCTCTGGACTTCTTCTGTTTAACCTCGGGATTCAGAAGGGAGATGGCTAACATGGGGCAATTTACTTTGATTGTTGGCAATTTAAGCCAAATCCTGTCCTAGAGAAGTCTGATTTGGTTCATACACTTGACAGTGGACTTCGATTCTGGGATGGATATTCTTCTCAATATGAACTGGAAAATATTAACATTTTCATTCTCCTAACCCAGTCCAAGAATTCTGGATTAAAATAAAATGCTTCTAAGTGAAAGATTAACATGCATAATTAATGATCATCTGTTATGTCTTCAGTAAATGGCTTTGGTATATTTCCTAAAATTGGGGGAAGCAAATGACTTCAAGAAAAATCCTTTTTGCAAGTCAAATGGTTTCTGTGCCTTTGCTTTCAGCAAAATTTCAGAACCCAGTCAAGCTCTCAATTTAGAGATAATGAAAAAGCCTTTAATGCTACATTATCCATAATCTTTCACATACAATGAAGGTCTGTAAAGAATGCAAAGGCCCGAGTGGCAGTGCTAGTATACAGGTCCTTCCGTAGCCATTTAGCTATTAGTGTGAGATTTCTCAGCTCCAGTGGCCTCGTGGATAAGGGGTTGTGCTGATAACCTAAAGGCGGGAGGTTCGAATCCATCAGCTGCCCCTCAGCAGAAAGATGAGCAATCTCCTCTCATGTGATTTACAGCCTCTGAAGACGCACTGGAGGGCCAGCTGTGTTGGCTCTGACATGATGGCAATTAGTGAGTAAGTATGTACAGAAAAACATAAAGTGGAAACGAAACTGACATTTCTCGTCACCCTTTAGAAAGAAGTGCTATCCATCTATGTAAATTAATGGGGAAAAATTCCATTTGCCACAAAGTTTAAAAGCCTTTATGATTTTAATATAACAAAACATGTTTTTGGTCATCTGTGTAGTAGTAGCTACAATAATGATTCAATACAGACAACTTGCTCCTCAAGCCTTGACACACACGACATTTTAAAAAATTAAGATTCTAAGAGATGCATATTTTTCATGCAAAGGAGTGTGTAACGATGATTGTGGAAAGCCTTGCAAGAATCCTAATACATTAGGCTAGACTTCGGTGGTGGAATAGATACAAACTGGCAAGGAAAGAGCTGTGTGAAATTCCCAACAGTTAAGAAGGAGAAGGCCTTTGTAAATGGGCTATGGGGCTCAGATTCCATTAGAGGGGCTTCAAAAGTGTTACTGTGGTTATCACTTGCTGCCAAGTGAAGTTCTGAGCAACGCTCTACAACTTAAAAAAGAAGGAAAAGACCTAGATGTCAAATGAGACATGAAAACTGGAGAGGCGCAAAGATGCCCCAGCTTCTCAGTGTCCAAACTGGACCCAGAAGGCAAGCTGCTTGTTCAAGTTCATCTCTGCAAGTGAAACGGTCTTGCATGAAGGTGCATAAAATAGTTTATAATTAGATTTGTCTTACCAAGAAGGAATGCCCTGTGTGCTTGTTTAATTCAACAACTATTAAAACCATTGCCACTGGGGGGGGGATATTTCCAGGGTAACAGAAGTTTTCTTTTAGAAAAGCACACATTTAAGCATCCCAAGCATTTATCCCTTTCCTCCTACTTGGAGATCTTAAGAATTGGGAGATAGAGTAGGTCACGTACCCTCAAACCTTGTAGGACACAGTGGCCCAAAGAAATCATGAGGACACGGGATGGGAGGTGGGCAATCGGGAAAAACAACCAGAAGCAGTGAGACCATGGCATGTGAACCTTACGTGGCACTTAGAACCAGCAGACTAGACGTGGGCACAGCAAACATATGGAGCTAAAAACCACAGTTGTTGTTGTTAGGTACCATCAAGTGGACTACGACTCATAGCAAATCTCTGAACAACAGATCTGAACTTGGCCCTGGTGGGCACCACCCTCACCTGCTCTGAGACGCTTGGCCCTCTGTTACAGTCACTTTGTCAGTTCATGTTGTTAAGGGCCCTCCAGTCTTGCACTAACCCTCCACCTTTCCCAACACGATTTCCTTTTTCCAATGACTGGCTCCTGTGACATGTCCAAACGACGTGAGATGGAGTTTCCCCCTCTTTGTCTCTCAGGGGCACTCTGGTTACATTTACTCCAAGACACACCGGTTTGTTCTTTTGGCAGTCTGTGAGAGAGTCAGTACTGCACGGAAAAGGTAAGCACAAGATGAGCTATATCACAGAGTATGATTTCCGTAGGCACACAGCTGGAACACGTAACAATACAGACACATCAATAATTTGTGCCCCCAGACATGTGCTGGAATTCTAACCTCTGTACTTGTTGTTAGTGTTCAGTGCTCTCGAGTTGACTACATAGTGACCCTGTCCACAAAAGCTCTGAACCCCGTCCTACCCTGTGCCATCCTCACACTTCCTGACACCCTAGAGCCCACTGTCTACACTAGAGCCCACTGTCTGCGCTCGAGGCTGTGATTCAATCGAAGGGAATGCCATCACCTTACACTAAGCAGTCCACCCACCAAATGGGGGCAATCAGCTGAAGTCACCCCAGTGTAGCAGGGCGGACCCTAAATGCCATCACTCCTAGGTGACAAAGGGCAAATGGGAGGGATTATGGAAGACAAGGCCAAGGCAGAAGTGGGGGACGGGGGCCACCACACCACCGAGACTCTGATTTGGACGTTTAACCTCCAGAAGCATGAGAAATACATATCTGTTCTTTAAGGCTAGAAAGACGGGGCACACATGGGCCAACTTGACATTCCCATTGCTGAACCTAAAACATGAAGTCCCTTCATCCCTGCATCTCACGGGAATCAGGGCCCCCCGAGCCCCCTCTGTGCCCTCTGTCCACGCAGACCCGCCACCAGGCACACAAACCCGCACGTACAGGGGTGCTGGGCGCCGAAGCCGGGCGCGCACTGGGTGTTGCGGCGGCAGCAGGCACAGTCGTCGCTCCAGTGGTAGCCGGGGGTGCAGGCGCAGAGGCGGGGGGCCGTGCGGTTGCCAGGCTCCACAGCCACTAGGGCCTTGCCTGTGGGAGAGAGGAGAAAGGTGGGGTTCACTGTGGGGACTCTGCCTGGGCACGTGAGGAGGTCTGGGTGCGCCCACCACATGGCCCAGCAGCCCTAGCCCCACACCATGCGGTCCAGGCTAGTGGCCACATGAGAGTCAATGAATAAACCACTGAGGACACCTTGTCTATGGACCTCCGTGCTGGCACTAAAACATCTCCACTGAGTTGCTTTTCTTCCCCTAACAGTTGCGTTTTTGGGACTGTTAAGTCCATTTTCACAGGTAGGAAGATCGAAGACTTATCTGTGACAGCTACAGACAAGGGCGTGTGTCTCCTATTTCGTCTCCAATGTGTTTGATAGAGTCAATATCAACACTAGACTGGCACTCCAAGAAGGGTTTCTCCAAACCTAGGATTCAACTCGGGAGCCCAGGGGCCCATGGAGCATTCAAAGTCATGAATTAGGGGATCACCTTAGTGGAGGAACCCCAGAGAGGTGGCATGATGGAATGCACCTCCCCAAACCCTCCCAGACTCCAATCACTTAACCTTCTCTTCATTCACAACACCTATTGCTGTTAGGTGTCTTTGAGTCACAATGACGCATAGTGACCCTGTGGATGACAGATCCGAACCCTGTCCTGTCCTGCGCCGACCTCATCGTCTCTGACTCACTCAAGCCCTTGCTGCGGTCACTGAATCAATCCATCTTGTTAAGGGTCCTCCTCTCTTACGCTGACCTTTCCAAGTATGACGTCTCGGAACAGCCTCTCCTGGCAACGTGCCCAAAGTAGGAAAGACGGCGCTTCACCATCACAACATCGAGCTTCCCCCAAGCTTTTTGTAGTTTTTGTGGAAAAACAGGGAACTGGGAATTTATCAGTAAGTGTGTGTGTGTGTGTGTGTGTGTGTGTGTGTGTGTGTGTGTGTGGAGAAAACACACAACGGAGGCCAGGGCTCCTTTCCCCACCTCATGTGCAGCCTGCCTCCACCCTTGGTCAGTGGAGACCTGTGTGCTGCTGGGAAGCAGAACAGATTTTAGCAGAGCTTCCAGACTAAGATGGAGTAGGAAAAAAGGCCTGGCAATCTACTTTCAAAAACCCATGGCTCACAGCGGACCCACCCACAGCTGATCCTGGGAATGGTGCAGAGTGGGGCAGTAGCATTTCACTCTACAGACACGGGCTGCTGTGAGGTGGGGCTGACGTAAAGGCAGCTGAGAACCAGTGAGAATAGTGACACATCATCTCTTATCCTTTGGGTGTGTTGTCAGGAGGCGCGGGTCCCTGAAAAAGGACATCATGCATGGTAGAGGGTCAGCAAAGGCGAGGAAGACCCTCAGTGAGATACATCCACACAGTCACTGCACGAATGGGCTTAAACACAGGGGAGATTGTGAGGGTGGTGCGACGCCAGGCAAGGTGTTGTCTGCTGCACGGAGGATTACCAAGAGTCACAATCTAGTCATCTGCACATAACAGCTGTGTGTGTGTGTGTGTGTGTGTGTGTGAGAGAGAGAGAGAGAGAGAGAGAGAGAGAGAGAGAGGGGAGAAGGAGGAGGAGGAGGAGGGAAAGAGAAGGAGCAGGAGGGAGAGGGAGGGAGAGAAGGAGAGAGGGGAAGAGAGAAGGAGAGGGGTGAGAGACGGGGAGAGAGAGACAGGGAGAGAGAGGAACACAGCACAATTATATTGTTGAAAACAGACCTGGCTCTCACTGGGGCTGTCTAAATGGCCCTCACTTCTTGCTTTCTGACAGGTGTTACCAGGGAAGAAAAGAAACGGAGCTCCGCCTTCCTTGTCTCACATCACAGCCAGCAGGAAGGGGATGGCCCCTATTCTTATTTTTTCCAGAGCCAAGCACGGTCACCCAGAGCAACACCCCCTCCTTCTGTGCCCACCCCCGCCCCCAGGGTCAGGGCCAGCTCGGCAATACGAGGCAAGGAAATCCCTAAGGTGCAGGAAGGTACCAGGACATCCTCCATCTCCCTAGAAAATTTTCAATACTACTGGCATCCCACTGAAAGGTAAGTGGACATATACCAGTTTGGTGATGAATACATGTAAGAATCTTAAGATATCTTAATGCACTAGGCTTTTGGCTTTAACTGCTCTTGGCAGTAGACAGAATGAATCTTTATTTCCAGAGACGGCAATGAGTCAAGGTCACTACTGAGTGGTGGGAAAGAAAAACGGCTTGATCAGATGCTTCCGCTCAGCGGAGTTTCCATGTGGCCTCCTCTAACCGTGACAGCTGTCTAACACATCAGTTCAGTGTGCTGTAAAAATACTATTTATTTCCTCGTACTGGCCACTGTTTGTGTGGTGCAAGGTGTGTGTGTGTGTGTGTGTGTGTGTGTGTGTGTGAGAACTGAAACTGTGTACACAAGGACCAATCCAGTGGCAGTCAGCCTCTGCAGCCTCCAGACTGTGAAGCCGAAATAGTATGTTCCCCTTAAAACAATTAGGGTTTCTTGGAAAAGGAACGGATTCCAGGTTTGGTGCTGAAATGTCCAGGATGAATCTGAAAGCCAGGGAGCTCCTAAAGACAATTAGGGCCATATCAAAAATTAGGGGCCACCAGAAAGAGGCTGCCATTGGTCCCAAACAGGCCAGTGTTAGATTGGCTAACTTCCATAGAGTAGATTATCACGTTGTTGTTGTTGTTGTTGTGTACCACTGAGTTGGAATCCACCCAGAGCTGACCCCCTAGTAGATGTGTGTGTGTGTGTGTGTGTGTGTGTGTGTGTGCGCGCGCGCACATAGTTTTGGTTTTTGTTTGTTTTTATTGGGTTGCTTACAAAGCTCATATACATTGTGTTTCGTACTATTCTTCATTCACATTGTGTTTTATACGACCATTCTCAGTAGATTTCCTGAGGCAGTAAATCACCTGGGAAAGAACAGTCCATTTTTCTCCTGTGGAGAAGCTGGTGGATTCGAACCACTCACCTTTGCATTGGCAGCACAATTCCTTACCATTAAGCCACCAGAGCTCCCAGAACATCACAACTATGTCTAAATTCATGAGTTCATAATATTACCACCAGCCCTTTGGAGAAAGCTGGGTGATCAAGTCATCATTTGAAAAGGGGGAAATACAGCTAAAGAACCAAGGATTTGTCCTGCCTTTCCTGGTGTGTTAGACCTCAGGGTAACAAATCATTGAGGAAGGGACCATCTCTTCATAAAGCACTCCAACTAATACGTGAAGAAAGGCTGAGAGAAATCACCTTTTAGGAGATGAAGACAGCGGACCCCGCAGCTAAACAGCAGCAGCTGAGATCTCACAAAGAACCCCATGATTCCACTCTTGGCGTAAGGACATTACACCAACTATGACATAATTTTGGAAAACAAAGCCAGACCCAGAATCCAATCAACCTTCTAGATCTAACAACTAGTTTACAGGAAATACCATGTCAAAGACAGAACCAAAAAACCCCAAACTCACAGCTGATTATTCTGACTCATAGTGACGCTGGATGACGAGAGAACTGCCTCACAGAGTTCCCAGGACGTAAACCTTTACGGAAGCAGATTGCCCCAGCCTTCTCTGGTGGAGCAGCTGGTAGATTAGAACCACTCACTTTTCCATGAACAGCCTAATGTTTAACTCACTGCACTACCTGGGGTCCTTGTAGAAGGCAGGGGGACCTGGAAATGATACCATGAACATACAACCGCAAAATCCAGATGGTGAATCCAGATGCCACAGGGGAAATAACATTCTTTTTCCTAGCAAATAAATAGAAAAAGTGTGAAAAAGGAATGGAACTATGTCTCTAAGTTAAAAGGCTGAAGAGGCATATTTTGATCCTGATAACTATAAAGAAACTGTAATTAACAAAATATTTGAGAGGTTAAATAAAAATACTGCAGTCTGGTCAGGAGCTTGGACTACAGGGTTAGTGAAACACATAATTTAGGGCAAAGACACAGATTAGGGCAAAGCTGAAGTTCTGGTGTTGAGCCCTGCCTCTCATTCATCAGTCTTGGAGAGGTCATTGAACCTCATGGGGTCTCTATCTCAGTAAGCAAGGATTCTTGTGAGGATTAAATGATGTAACATATCACTGCGTGAATATTTTGCCAACTGTAAAATCTCAACCCTGGTTAAAGCCTAACCTAAACATAGTTTAGAACAGCAAGCTAAATGAAGAATTTTATCACAGGGTATTGAGACTCTTAAGCACATCCGTGGTTATAACTTCTTGCATTGCTCCCCCAAAAGGCGCCCCTCTGAGTGTGCTTAAATCTCGTGTCTACAGAAGGGGAGTTTTGAGGGCCTGAAGACGAACACTTGGTCTCCGCAAAGCCCACTGCCCCGCTGACAGGGCCCACTCACCTGTATCACAAACTTTATGCAGCAAACATTTATCTTCTTCATTCCAGGTGTCCAGGTATTCATCCGGGCCACAGGGCAGACAGATGCTTTCAGAGGTAGTAGTGCATTTAGAAGACATGTACTTTCCTTAAATTAGAGAGAAAATGCACCATTTTATTTACCAGTTTGCATAATCATGACCCCAAGAAGCCTCTCAGGCTGTACTCCCAAGACACGCAAGACAAGGTGGCAGACAAAGAGTCAACACCCCGGGACTCTCAGCCCTCAATGGGGGAAGGAACATCAGCCGAGCCTGTGTCACCTGCGGTCACGGCAGTCACATCAATCGCTAGAACAGGACATCCTGCTTGATAAAGCAGAGGGAGCTAGAATGAAGGAAACAGGCACAAGAGCCACAGCAATGGCCTCAAACATACAACGACACAGAGGACAAAGCAGCCAGGGATTCTTCCATTCTGTCCCAGGCGACAGAATCCTCAGTCCGAGCCAAATCAACAGCAACTCACAACCACAAGGAAAAGCCCACCCTTTGCACCCCAACCTTCTGCTGCCTACAGAATAGAACAATGGTTTTCAAACTGGACCCTGTAGATATTAAGAGGTTCCTTGGATCTGCTTTCTTCTTGTTATATGAGATCAAGTTGCCTGTGACTCAGAGTGACCCTGTGTACAACAGCTCTGCAGCCTGCCCTGTCCTGAGCCAGTCTCACTGACTGCAACACACCTACCTCCATGACCCCAGTAACTGTGTCAATCTGTCTCGTTGGGAGTCTTCCTCTCCTGCGCTGTCCGTCTGCTCTTCCAAGCATGATGTCCTTCTCCAAGGACCGGCCCCTCCTGGCCACATCTCTGAAGTATGTGGGACAGAGCTTCAAAATCCTTGCCTTTAAGGAGAAACTTGATGTCACCTTCTCCCAGACAGGCTTGTTTGTTCTGTTGGCAGTCCATGGTATGTTCAAGACTCTTCTCCAGCACCACAACTCAAAGGAATTGATTCTTCTTTTGTCGTCCCTAGTCATTGTCCAGGCCTCTGATGCATAGCAAGTAATTGTGAAGACTAGAGCCGGGATCAGGCGAGCCGTAGTCTCTAGACTGAAATCATTGCTTCTCAGTACTCTGTAGATGTCCTTGACCACAGATTTTCCCCAGTGTAATTTGTCTCTTGATTTCCTGAATGCTGGTGCCAAGAGTGTTGACTAAGGAGCCCAGCAAGCTGAAGTTGTTAACAACCTCAATCTCTTCTCCATCATGACACTGTCAATTGGCCTAGTGGTTGAGAATCTTTGTCTTCGTGATGTTGAGCTTCAATTCATAATGAAGACTACAGTCCTTGATCTTCTGCAACAAGTGCTTCAGGTTCTTCTTAGTTTCAGCAAGCAAGGTTGTGTCATCTGCATATTGCAATTTGTTGATGAGTCTTTCTCTAATTCTGATGCCGCATTCCTCCTCATAAAGCCCAGCCTCTCCAATTATCTGTTCCACATATAGACTGAAAAGGTATGGAGACAGGACACATCCCTGATGCCCTCTTTTCCTGATTTTGAACCATGCAGTGTTTCCTTGCTCTGTTCTGAGGACTGCTTCCTGGTCCAAGTATAGGTTTTGCATGAGCACAATCTAGTGTTCTTGGGATTCCCATTCTCCTTAAGGTTAACCACAATTTATTGTGATTCATGCTGTCAAATGCTTTTTCATACTCAATGAAACACAGATAGACTTTCCTCTGATACTTTCTGCTTTTGGCCAAGATTCATCTGACATTGGCAGTAATGTCTCTAGTACCATGGCCTCTTTTAAACCCAGCTTGTATTTCTAATCATTCTCTGTCAACGTACTGTTCCACTCATTTTTGGATAATCTTCAGCAGGATTTTGCTTGTATGTAGTACTAGTGATATTGTTCTATAATTTCCACACTCTGCCAGGTGACCTTTTCTTGGAATGGGAATAAAGAATCTAAGCAGGAGGAACTTCACACCCTTCCTTCTATCTTCATACCTCCTCTTCCTCCCATATGAGCAGAGAATTCTTTTGTTACTTTAAGTTCATGAATGACTTGGTTTGACCAGAGACCTATACACATACTCCCACTGGCTCTTGATTCTGCATATATAAAAAAAAATCTATAGCTGAAATATCCAAAGGGCCTTCTAATAAGGTAACTTATACTTTGTCTTCAAAAATACCTTTCCCTCTTCAATATCACACCAGAATTGAGGACCCAGGGAACCTGGGATTCCACTGAAGCAGTAGAAAGATATGGTCACGCCTCTAGTTGACAACTCTGGTACCCAATCTACCTTCTGTTCCTCTGCAGGTCCATCAGGAGAAGGTATAGGAGGGTTTGGGCAAATTTTAGCGGCTATTCCACAAAAACCTTCTGTGGAAATAATGATTTTATATTAGAACTCTTCTTCATATTTTAAACGTGTTAAGGCAAGGTTTTAAAAACCTGGTCACTTCAAAAAAAGACTGGTTTGGAAAACTATGCTTGCACAAGAATGAAATACCAGTTTCCAAAATTTCTTTTCAAGTGGTTTTATCTCTAAGAGAGAGTTTTGTCTTCAGAGTGACAGATGTTACTCTGCCTCCACCATAAAAGTCTATTCAGTTTCTTTTTATTCCCCAATCTGGCAAGGCAGAAGTCATTCCTTATGTTAAAAAACAAACAAACAAAAACCCCAAAACAAAAACAGCAAACAAATCCCGCCCACTTTTGAGGGAAGCAGCCCAGCAGCTCAGAACCGCATACCTGGCTCACATTTGCTGCAACACCGTCCTGAGCGCTCATATTGCCTCTCACTGCTGCATGGAGGGGTGAGTTGAAGGGTCATCTGAAAAGAGAACTGACATCAGAGAAAAACAAGAACTCTGGATTAAAACCAAAAATTGAATTGCTAAATTACATTTCTAAAGAGTATAAGAAAATATCATAAACAGTCCTGAAACTACTCTGGCCTCACCTCCCTGTCCCCCTTAACACACACACACACACACACACACACACACACACACACACACACTCTTCCTTCTTCTAGGTCATTTTCCCTTCACAAAAAAACCCCGTCATTGCAACTGGGTCGAATTCAACTCATCGCCGACTCTCTTATTGGGTTTCTGAAGCTATCAATCACATGGGAGGAGACTGCCCATCTTTCTCCCATAGAGTGGCTGTCGGATTGACACCACCATAGAGATACAGCGTTTGAGTTAGCAGACCAGTTCCCTATGCACCAGGCAGCCAGAGTTCCCTTTAGAAGTTATAAAATCAACTATACTAGCAGGAAAATATATTTAAGCATGGGAAAATATTCTGTTCTTGGTCATATGATAGGTTAAAGGAAAATGTAAAACTTGTCTGTAAATTTTAATGGAGAGCCAAGCAGCGTACGTCGGAGCCATGGGGGCTTGGAACAAAGAGTTCCAAGCGTCTCTTGGGACCCTAGACAAACTGCTTAAGCTTTCTGAACCTTCCTTTTCTTCCTGATTAAAAACCTGTTTCTTTCTAGCACTTACATTCAAAGCACAGAAGAGAAACAGTTACTGATGGTTGTTAAACATAACCAATTTATCTCACTGGATTGGATTTCCAGATTTGAAAGATGAAGCCCACAGTCTCAAGGGGCATCTCAGTCTACTGGTATAATGTGGTTCATAGATTGCATTCTCCATATTTATTTTTTGTGTGTGATTAATGTCTGAGACCTTAAAAGCTTCTAAGCAGCCAGCCATCTTAACACAACTGTTGGTCTCTATGCATCTGGAATAAAAAAGAGAGAAGGACATCAAAGACTCAGAAAAGAAACCAGCCTAGATGGTAAATAGTCTGTCTACCTAAACTCATCTGCCCTGGGACTAGAGGAATGAGATGGTCCACCACCACCACTGACAGTTCACTGATTGAGTGGGAGAAAAAAAATGTGAAGAAGAAGTTCTCACTCCTAAGTAAACGAATCAAAAAATCACCAGACCTACTGGGCTGTCTGAGACTGCAGGACTCCCTGAAGCCCTTCCCTGAGAAACTCTTCAGTCCTGGAACTGAATCACCCCTGGGTTTGCCTTGTAGCTAAATAACAAAACAATGAACTGGATAGCCCATAAGCATAATGCTCCTTTAAGTTAACATCACAATAATCAAAACAACTATGAGATACCATCTCACCCCAGTCAGAATAGCAAAATTTAACCGAACAGCAAACACCACATGCTGGCGAGGTTGCAGAGAAACTGGAACCCTTATTCACTGTTGGTGGGAGTGTAAAATGGTGCAACCCCTGGGGAAGGCAGTATGGTGCTTTCTCAAAAAGTTGCAAATAGAAATACCATTTGACCCAGCAATTTCACTACTGGTAATACACCCCAAAAAGACCATAACTGCCACCCAAGCAGATATATGCACACCCATGTTTATCACAGCTTTGTTCACAATAGCAAAGAGGTGGAAACAACCCAAGTGTCCATCGACAAACAAATGGATAAAGAAGCTCTGGTATTTTCACACAATGGAATATTATGCTGCATTGAAAAACAAGGAACTCATGAAATATTACGCAAAATGGGTGACCCTGGAGGACATTATGCTGAGTGAAATATCTCAGTCACAAAAGGACAAATATTGCACAGTGCCACTGTTATAAAATGGAACTGACATTGGGGTTGGGGGAAGACTGAGAAAGATGGGATAAATTATGTGTACTGTATTGAAACAGATGAGGGAGAGAACCATTTAAAAGGGATATATGACTATGTATTATTGTCATAACAGGAGTCCAAAATGAAGGCTGCACAGTGGCGTTGACTTGGGAGGAGGGATTGTATAACAATGAAAGAATTTTTCTTTAACTCTTCAAAGAGAAGAGCGAATGGGTGAAGGGGGTGGGCAGGGAGAAAAGTGCAGCAATGAATGACTAGAAATCCTAAGTCTCTGTAAACTTTCATTAAAATTAATTTTAAAAAACACTCTAGGCTGAGCTCACTGCTCAGCTCCTTTTGAAAAATCACCTAAATGAGTCCAGTCACCGTGACTTTAAAACAAAGATGGGGCTGTAAGGGGGCAGGGAAGTTAGATTGATGAAATAACCAGAACAGCAATCAGGAGGATGTTCAGGCTTTGTGAGGATGTAATCAATGCCGCTCAACAACACGGGCAGACATCGTTGAATGGGAACCCAAGCGGCTGTGTACACCTTTCCCAAAAGCACAATAAAACATTATTTTTGCACAAAACAAAACTCTATGATTCTAATACAAATACTAATTTCTAGATCTGCCTATCTAAGAAATCAAAGCAAACTGAAACAAAACTCAAGTCCTCTATAGTCACTGATGCTTATCAATTTGCCCCAGAAAAGCTCTTTCTTCCTCTTCTTTCTCAGTGTGAAAAGAAAGCAAAACAGAAGAGTCATTCTTGTTGAAAAGTAATCATGTTAGAAATTGAACAACAAAGGAAGCAACTGGGTTTTGCTGAAGAGGCAGGCACCAGTTTACAGATACCACCCCAGGAACGCACAAATCTCAAAACACAATAGACCTTCCTCTCCAGGGAAGCACGGGCTCCAGTGAGAGGCAGCAGAGGTAGGTGGGCCCACCCTCAGCTCAAGAAGGCATGGGAAGGCTTCCTAAGAGGGGTGAGAAGTTGAGTCCAGACTTAACAGAACAAGAGCAATTAGCCCAGTGGGGAAACAGGAACTGGGAGCTGAAGTTAGAGGATGGGCAAGGGAGGCTTTTCTCGATAACGCCAGTGGTGCCCACAGAGACAGTGGGATCCAAATGGCATTTGGGACGGCCCTCGGGGTAAGTCAGCATGGGTGAGGTGCAGACGGTCAGCTAAAGAGCCGTGAGAGAAGACACTCGGTGCAGGCCACAGAGGGTTCGCTCACGTGTCCTATCAAAGAGCTGGGACTGAGGGTGCAGGGACAATATGGTTTAAAGAAGCTATTCATCCTCGCAACACTTCAACTGTGGCAGTGCTGTGCTGTGTGGTTTTCATGGGAATTCATTCCCCACCAAGGAAGGCACTACCCTTATCTGTATCTGGCAAAAGGCTAAAACCTCCAGTGATCGACGCAAATGTTGCCTAATGAACAGAATTCATCTGAACCTAATAACAGTTGTTGACCACGTTGCTGATGACAAAGGTAAACCAACATAAGCATGTCACTAGGGCCAAAATTCAGATGATAAAGTTTATTGAAACTGTCTTGGCAAGATAAGCATGTCTTGGCCAAGATAAGTTTGTGTGACACACAGAGGATGGTACTTTTTAGGGGAATTTGGTTTAAAAAAAAATTCTACCCTTAAAGCAACTACTTCAAAGCTTCATCATGTATTACTGACTGGGTCACAATCTCCAGATCCTACTACTATTTAGCATTAGTTTCAAAGGTGTGTCCAATACAGGCCATGGTCTTCGCAATCACTTGCTGTGCATCAGAGAGCTGGACAATGACTAGGGAGGGTAGAAGGAGAATTGATGCCTTTGAGCTGTGGTGCTGAAAAAAGAGTATTGAGTGTACCATGGACTGCCAAGAAAACAAACATATTTATTCTGGAGAGGGTTAAACCAGGCTGATCCTTGGAGGCAAGGATTCTGAGGCTTCATCTAACATACTTTGGACATGTTGAAAGGAGGGATCATTCCTTAGAGAGGGACGTCATGCTTGGGAAGGGTGGAGGGACAGCGCAGGAGAGGAAGACCCTTGATGAAATGGACTGATTCAGTGACTGGGGTAAGAGGGGGCGGTGTAGGAGACGGTGAGATTGACACAGGACAGAGCAGAGTTTAGGGCTGTTGTACATAGGGTCGGTATGAGTCGCAAGCCACTCGACGGCACATAACAACAACAAACAATGGACAGCTGGCTTACATGTTAGGATTGTGTCTGTATTTAACTGTCCACTCACCCACCCATCTGTCCATTCATTCGTCCATCCATCATGTAACTCAGGAGCTCATCATCTCCTGGTAAAAATCAGGATGTCACTATTTTCATAAATCACAAGATGTCCTGGTTTTTAAATAGATATCCACAGCTTATTCCATAAATTCTATTTATCTCTCTGAAGTTTGTTCTAAATGTATCTAGCTACATTTTCACATGTTCTCACAACGTCTAGGTCACATATTTATTTTGGGAATGTAATTCACATACTACAAAATCCACTTTTTGGAAAGAAGTATACGATTCTATGGGTTTGTTGTGGTGGTTTGTCTACTCAAAAGGTTGTGACTGTCACCATCATCTAAGTGTCAGGACATTGTCACCCACTTGTAAAACTTTCATAGTTTCTCCATATTCATTGAATTTCCACAGGCAAGCTATTTTGGAACTGGATGCCACTCCAGCTTTATATATATATTTTTTTTTCTTTCTCCTGTATTTTTATGTATAACTCAAAAGCAATATCTACATATATATTTTGGTTTTTAATTGCCTCACATGCATGTGAAAGCTGGATAATGAACAGAAAAGGCTGAAGAAGAATTGATCCCTTATATTTGGGTTGTGGGTGAAGAAAACTCAATATAGCATGCAATGCTGAGAGGATGGACAAATCTGTAAATCTCTCTTGGGAGACGTACAGCCAGCTCTCTCCTTAGAAGTAAGGAGAGTGAAACTTCATCTCATGTACTCTGGATAGGTGATCAGGAGGGACTAGTCCCCAGAGAACACCATGCTTGGGACATTTAAGAAGACAGCCCTCAGTGAGATATATTACCACCGAGGCTACAACATGCGCTGAACCACAGCAACAGCTGTGAAGGTTGTACAGGACGACACAGGGTTCTGTTGTGTTCTGTAGAACGTAAGGTCACGATGAGTAGGAATGAAGC